CAGGGCCGTGGGGGGGGAAAAAAAAACCCAACCCCCGCCTCAATACTCTGTGCAGCCAAACAAAACAACCAAATAAACGCCATTTCATCTTTATCTTTGGTGGAGCATCATTAAAGCCTCATGTTCAGACACTGCTCATTTCAAAGGCGCAAGTGGAACATCTGAGCCCCGTGCCTTCAGCAGATTTTAATTACAATCTTGTTACTAAAGCATTATGTAAATGATAAGCGCCGGTATTATAGGATTCTTGGTTTTAGTGTTCGTGTTAAACACTCTGAATGCTGAAAAAGAGAGGCATCTCGCTAATGCGTTCTGCAGAGGCACGGAACGGGGAGGTGAGGACAGGCAACACACTCCTCCAGGTCCAGCAGATTCTCCTATTTTGCTTTTGGTCAAAACCCTCGCACCAGTTTTTGTCCTCTCTTGCTATTTCTGGTTCTATTTAGGCTGTCCCATGAGACTGTCTGCTTACATAATATCAAGCCCGTGTTGCTAAAAATACACTTCTCTGAAAGAGCCATAAAAAAATACTCAGCCGAAAATACCATCTACCCTGGGTTTATGCAGAATGTAAGAGACATCTCTCTCTTAAAACCGACATAAAAAAAAAAGTTTTCCTTCAAGCAGCTGGTTCCTCAACAGACAAAGAAGCAAGACTCCCCACATTTCAGAGCACTCTGCAGCCCTTCTGCAAGTGCATGCTGTATTACTGGCAAAATATCCACTGAGGGCTTTTTCCTCTCCCCCGCCCAAATTCAGAAGGCTTAGGAAATATTACTCTCATCTGACTACCACGGGCAGCCATTTAATTTTGTTCCAAATCGCTGTAGATTAATAAAGACAGCAGAGGAGCGATGGAAATTAAAACTTAATAAGCGTAAAGTTGAACAGATGTTTCTGCTGTCTGAAGGGAGTTTGGGATCCCAGAGCAACGCCGCCACCGCCACCCGAGCTGTCGAACAGCAAAAGGTGCAGAGCTCGGAAGAGTCACCCTGGTGGGAAGGATAAACGGCACGGAGAGGGGAGGGAGAATAAAAAGAACAAAACAAAAATGTGCAGAAGCTCATTTAGGAATGATTTGGGAATTGCTGCGAGAGGCAGAATCCTTCTGCCTGCACCTGCACTGCTGTCTGAACATCCCAGCTATTCCGAAGCCACCCACGGCACACGGGTGGATTTGCTTTCGGAGCTCCAGCAGCTCCCGGTGGTCACTCGACGTCACGCGTCTGTGCCCGACCCAATGCCAAAGCCTCGCCGCGGGCGTGCGGAGTCCATGGCACGACAGGAGGAGCGTGTATCCTGTAGGGAGCTCTCCCTGTCTCTGGAATTCTCACCATTCCAGTACTGAATTCCAGGCATCCAGTTTTGTTTCATCTCCTCAAGTCAGAAATTTTACAGCTTCTGCTGCAGTCAGATGCTAATCAGCTGCTCAGTTCACCCCGTCTGAGCAACTCAAGACACTGACAACTTCCCCCAAACAGTCTGTTTTGAAGAGTCTTTTTTTTCTAAAAAAAAGCGCTAAATATAAAATACACGTGTATTTATTTAGTTTTCAGCTTTGCCTGTAACTCCTAGAGAAAGAGATTTTATCAAGATGATACCTGATAAACAAAGTATTTCAAATATGTAGGGTAGGGCATCTCCAAAACACCAAGAGATTCCCCCCCTCCTCCCAGTCTTGCAGCTTCTAATCTCAGCGTGTTTAATCACCAGCTTTCCTAGCAGCCATAAACACAGACCTTTACATTTTAACTTGTGATCTTCGAAAACTAGAGGCAGAAAATTCAGTTGCTCTTCGCGCTTCTCAAAACCTTCCAACCAGCTGCCACGCAGAATGGCATCCAGGGCTTTTGCCGCAGGGGCAGACGCCGAGGGCACGGCAGCCGAAAGCAAAGCTGGTGGTGCAGAAGGTAACTAGAACTCTTCTCCTCCTCAAGAACACCAGATCTTGGTCTAAAATATCCTGTAACGGCCTTTTTGCAGGATGCAGAACCCCTCCACGCCATTTTTCCATGCCCTGAGCAACAACAAGCTGCTGTTCAAGCACTGCTGGGGCAAAACTATGGCTCCCCTCAGTCTAAACGAACTGGTGAGCTGCAAAAAGGGTGAAGAGGGGCTTTTATGCCCCACACAGAGCTCAGTTGATCAATTCCTGAGGTTCAGGCTGCCTCTGCCTCCGAGCTGCACCGTCTTTGGGTTCTGCAGTTATCAAGGAATAGAGAAAGATGGAGAGGGAAGTTCAACAGGAAAAGATAAGCATCTAACTGGCATCTCAAAGAAAGGGAAGCCAAGGCTTCAGCGTGAATCACCCTCTCCAGGAGAAGACTTTACTCCAGCTGATGTGGAGAAAGCTCCTACTGAGACCCTTCCTTTACACCACCTTCGTGGCGTTCACACTTAGCCAGATTTCCCAGTTCTTCACGATGCGACTCCATCCTGGGGAGGCTGGATCTGAGGGAGAGCGGCTGGACGTCCCCTGGGCTGCACCAGCAGCACTGACTGGGTTGGCTCTAAGTACCAGAGCCAAACCCAGTTTCCACGAGACCTTTCTGCGGCAAGGCTGTGCAATCCCAGGCGAGCCGCTCACGTTCACCCACGCTTTGCGTCAGAACCGATGGCAAGCCTCCAGCTGCTGGTGCTCCCCAGGGAGGGGACACAGGGCAAGCTCTGCTCCAAGTGCTCACAGGGCTAAAGGGAAGAGAGAAGAGCTCTTTTTCTGCATCACCCACCGATTCCTAACAGCACCAGGCTGGGCTTTTGGCCCCTGGATGCCTCCCCCAACCTCAACACTCTGACGTCTCCTGAAGTGCTTCGTGACCGCAAAAGTTTGCTGGAAAACAGCGTTAATAAAATGCAAGCTCAAGGAAAAAAACCCAAGGAATTAACATTTCTCATATTTTTAGTTCAATACTTAATTACAGAACTTTAAACCAAAGTAGAACAGTCAAGTAATTAAAGGTGGATGTCTGCCTTTGATAATTTTTTTCCCCTCGGGAAAAAGCACGGCTCTACGTTTTCCTTACCAATGCCTGAAGAAAAGTCAGAACAGCACGACTTGAAGCAATCAACAAAAAGCCATTTTCTGTTCTACTATCCCCCACCCTAGTAAACAAAGATGCAAGGACACAAGCAGGGGATGGAATTTGCCTCATTACACCTTATTTGTTCACATATTTTTGTACGTTAAATATTGGTACCTCCTCGAATTCCTTTGAACGGATAGAAAAACGCCACGAGCAGGTTCATAAGGACAGCCAGGTTAAAGGAAATACTGCTCCAGAAGGACATGTTGCGAGCACACCAGTAGAGGAAAGGTTGAGCTGCAAAAGAGCAAAAGAATTCTTTTTAATGGAGCATTAAAATTAAATAAATAATTATTGACTTCTAGTCAAAAAACTAACCTCCACCAAAACTCATTTTAATTTCAGTTCACCCAAAATCACAGCATCAACAGCAGTAATATTCATGGCTTATTCAGAAATTTCCTCAATTACTTTTTAGCTTTCCAGTTTATGTGTTTCAAGGCAGAGGATCCCCATTAAAAAAGAAAATATTCTCAAAACAATTTAGCAGCAGCACGAGCTCAGAAATGCAGAGGTCAAAGACCGCAGGTTTCCCCTAATAATGTATTTGGTATTCAAGAGTCACACGGAGCACAATTAGGGGGAGGAGAACAAGACATGTGAGCAGCGGTGAGATTCGGCAGCGAGGTGGACAATTACGACGCAAAATGCAAGAGAGCGACATCGTGACGAAGCCCTAAAACGTTCAGGGCGAGCTGCCAAGCGAGCAAGACAACTTCAAGCTGATGACAGACCTACACGGCCCTGGAATAATAAGAACCGAGCTGAAGCTGGGCTGGCCTTGCCTCTGCCCCGCGGGCATGGGACAAGCACATCTGCATGGAGCTCAGGGTACCGTTAAACAGCTGCACATTTGACATTCTCAATGCTACACACAAATATTTTTTCAAAAGGACTCCTAATCTTAATAATCTCTGCAGCCAGAATCAAGAAGCATAAGAAAAAGATTCGTTTTCCAAAGTGGTCGCGGACCAGAAGACAACAAGGACAGTCAAGACACCACCTTACAGTAATTTCCTCTGCCTCAAGGCGAAATACCCTTGATTTTAGCTCCTGCAGGCTTATTACACAGCAAATTGCATGCTCCTGAAATCTAGAATGGTAAAATTGCGATCTGTTAAAAACGCTCTCAACGAACGGAACAAACTGACAGGTTTCCCCATCAGAAGGAGGCAAAGCGTACAGGTATTGGAGAGCAAAGGAAAAGAAGCTTAAATTCAGGGAAAAGAGGAAAACGTGGACTGGGGCTGAAGAGTAAATTAATGAATGTAGCAGCTCTGAGCCTCACAGCAGACACTACTTCCCTTCAGCAGATCACCTCTACTAGCATGCTAAGCAAAAAAAAAAAAAAAGGTTTAAAAGAATTACACAATGCCTCATTACACCAACTGGAAATGCACATAAAGAGCAAATGTGCTGAAGAGCTGAACACGGAGCGAAGGGCTGCAGCAAGGTACCCCGGCACCGAGCGAACACGGTGCACCCAATTAGCCAGGCACACGTTACGCCTCACCGAAATGTGAGGTAGCAACGTTTCAGAGACACGAGGCACTGGTTTCTCTATTATTTCTGTCCTCAATTGCATTTTTCCCGGAAGAATTTGTAAGCAAGTTGAATTAATTTGTACGACACTGACACGAAGGGTCATTATAAAGCTCCAGGTTTTACCTCAAGCCTCCCTTGGGGGACGGGCCAGGCTACGTGCCCTGCGTAGCACTTCTGCCAGGTTTTTGGCAGGCTCATTTGAGTTCTTAATTAAGACTTAACGGACTAGCATTGTGAGCTGAAGGGGGAAGTACAGGGGTCTGTAGAAAGACTTTTCTTTTTAAAAGTCTTCCTCAGGTTTGAATGAACTGTGAGTGGTATCACATGAGCACGGCCCGGAGCACCACCAGAACCGTCACGTCTTGGAAACACAAACCTGTATTTAAGATGTGAGAAACAATTATATAACTGTAGAATATCACTTCAAAGCCAAATAAGACCAGAATATTAGGAGACAGACTAAATGATTCCCATTGCTTAAAGAAGAAAAAAAGGAAAGAAAAGAAATATTCTCCACTTCTGCAGATGGATCTTGACTGATCTGTGGTCTGCTGTTAACTCTGGATGTCATCAGAGCTTGCCTGGAGACAGCCTCCAAGACAAAGTAACTCAAGGAACACAGACTAACAGAATACACGGGTACTTGTTTACGATGTCATACACTCCCGTATTTCTTGCAGAGCTGCAGGAAGCAGCTTCCTGAGGATTTCGACGCTGTCAGGAGTACGGATCCATTGCTCAGTGGAAACAGAATCACAGAAAATAGCTCCACTCAGTATTCATAACACAGGAAAAATAACTCAGCAGAGCTGACCACGTTTCAGGCAGTCTTATCTAGAGCTGACTCTGACAATTTTAAATGATACAATTCAACTGCTTCTCTCTGTTAAAAGATCTAACAACATCCATATGTCTTCCATTACCAAACGCGTGAGGCATCACCAGCTCTAGCGCGACCCGCGCCAGCGCATCCTACAAACAAACCGGAAAGGCTCTTCTTGGAAGGGCATGGCGAAAGGGCGCGACGCGACCGTCACAGGCTGCAATGAGGGAAATAACTCGATAAAAATAACTTTCGCAATGAGGAAGGTCAAGAGGTCCCTCCTCACCTCGTTTTTTTCCTACGACGTGCAACGTTGACCAAGTACCAGCGAGGTCTCAGTCAGGGGGAAGAACCTTTGCCAACCACGCCGGCGCGGCCAGCCTGGCAGAGCAGCTGCGCAGCGGAATTCCACGCTCACACGTGCTCTGGGAAGAGGTTTGGGACCAGCCAGTGCTCTTGGGCTGACTCAGCCATGGGGAACAACGGCCGTATGCGACGGCAGAGGTTGACTCAAGCAGGAAGCAACTGCTTTATCGCTCGCATTTCAGAGGGTCGTTGTTGGTAAATTTTAACCACTCGCCACTGGCGCGGAGCCTCGTGTGCAATGTTTCCCCTTTAGCAACATGAGATACTGACTTTAAAAAAAATAAATTAAGCAAATCAGTTAGAAAGTTTACGAGGGAAAGACATGTGACCCTATGAATTAAAATAGGATTTTGAAACTTTTCTTAGCTGCCAGTGGGAACCTCAGGGGGAAAAGCAGTGCTTGACAACGGCTCCTTTCAGATATTCAGCGTCACAGGGCTGAAGGGACTTAATCAGCCCGTCTGCCAGTCTATGCCCTACTCGAAGAACAAATCTTATTTTTACTGGAAAATGCATGTTAAGCTGTTCCTAAATACCCAAGATATCTTGCTGGAGATGCCGTAAGGCCATGCTGCACTGCCCAGCCCGACTCCTGCTTGCATTGCGAGGGAACTGCTTCGTGCACCCATCGCAGGGAAGGAGAACAGGCCACTGCTTTCTCCAGCCGCCTCCTCTCCGTTCCTCCCTGCCACCAAACGCCTTCTCATTCCAGCTAAGCCTCCACAAAATTGCTCCTTCCTGTTGGATCTTAAAAAAATAGGCGACCTGCGCTCCTTCTCACCGCTTTCCCCTGGATCCTCTCTAGCTGGTCCACGTTGCTCTTGCGTTAAAGCTCAACTTCCTGACAGCGCGTTGCCACCATGACGAGGAGACGAGCCTTTCACACCATGAGCAAGGTCGCTGCCACACTGGGGAACCACCTGCTACCGAGTCAACGTTTCCAACGCCAAAATCCTGGCCTCGGCACCGGTAACATTCCACGCAACCACGCCGGCAACAGCAACCTTACCTCGCAATTTCTTTTGCCAGTTCATCTCGTTGAAGAGGTCTTCCGATTTCATGAAGAAGTCGTTGATCTTGCTGCCTTGCTCGTCCCTCTCCGTGGTGTAATATATGCGCAGCTTGGACTCCTTCGTGAGGAATTCGCAGATGCTGGGCACGGGGAAGACGATTTGCTCCATGGTGCGGTCCGACCTGACGATCTGAATGGCAGCCTTTAATTAGGCTTCTTCCTAGTGTTTTATTCCACGGTTTGTTTGCTTCCCCCCACCCTTTCAAACCAGCTATGTGTGGAAAACTTGGCCACGTTTCCGCAGAACAGCAGCTCGATGGAGATTTCATTTAACTTACTTTTCAAAGCAGACCCACGTTCAGCTCCAAGACTGGTCATGTCTGTGCTGTGATCTTACCCAGACAATATTGTCCTTAGCTGGGATTTCCAAGGGGCCCGGTAAATCCTGCGCCAAAGTTGCGCTGAATTTCAGACCAATCTGGTTGCCCAAATCAAGAAGCTTAGCAAATTTTAGCCTCGTGTTGCACAGGCAAGCACGAGGGATAATATATTAATATTGCTTATCAGAGAGTCTTGCAAATTCTCCGTATTTGTGTGCGTTTTGATTTTAAAAAGCGGCCCAGATCGTACGTCAGGCCAAACGGTATTTTTTTAATACAGAATGGCAAAAGCCATCGCTAACTTCATGGATTCAGCAATAGCACCGGCCAAAATGCAACAGAAGCGACGTTACACTTCCTCCTGCCAACAGAGCTCTGCTCAGCTCCATCCTAGAGCCCACACATGACAGCTCAAAAATAGCTCCCCCCTGCCAGCGGATGTCAAAATATAATAAAAAAAAAGCTAGAAAAAGAAAATAAGTACACATACATTCTCATGTCAAAGATGACAGTCCACACACAGGTAGTAAGGTTCAATCAAAACCCCACGTATAATGTGACGGTGTCGGACTCCACCGTTTCTCTTCCAAGAGGCTTTTTGTGTGGCAGATCATCCCCCCAGCCCTTCCCCGAAACCTCCCGGCAGCCTCCGGTTTCCCCGTACCTCAATCTGTGCCGTGTGCTTGGCGTAGAACTCCAGAGCCTCGTCTCCTTCGATCTGACCTCCCGGCTTCAGCATGTTCTGCAGCTCTTTGTTGTGACGAGCCAACTAAAATAAAGGAATGCAAAGGGAGTGGGAGACACCAGATGTCTCTCTATGGTATTAAATTTCTGATTTTTTGGCGTAAAAAAAAAGAAATAGTATGCAGTCAGCTGCTAAGAAAGGGCAAAGTTGACAGAAGGCTCGTTCTATTCCAACCAGACACCCTGCAGCTCTATTTTGGGAGCTAGTCAGAATGATTCAAATATGTATTTTTTTTTTAATATCCATGTTGTACTCCTCTCTTACCCATCCTCTCCCACCCTTTGCCTGACTTGAAAAACTTTTTTGAACATTCCCACTCGGTCTGCCCTTCTCCCCCCACCCTAATTCAAAGGTGTGCTAATCGCTCAAGTACCCAGGCAGGGGCGGAAGGAAAAATTTGCATCGTTTGAAAAGCAGATGCACGGAGCACTGCTCCAAAACTGCTTCTGGATGCTCTGAATTCATCTTGCAGCACAGCAGTGGTCTTCCTTTTCAGATGCTACAGGAACAAAAAGCCTCTAATGGGAGTGATACAGGTAGCATCGATGTATTGAATAGATACAGACATGTTATATTTCCTCCCCCTTGGTCTTTTACTTTTCAAATTCCACATTTATATCACAGAAACAACCCTGACTGGCTCCCAGGTAGGAGGGAATGTGGCAAGAACCATAAAAGCAGAGTGCATTTCTGACTACAGATTAATGGATCGGTGAGTAGAATTTCTTTGGGAGTACAAAGTAACCTTTGATAGAGCTGAGAAGTAATAAATGTGTTGCTGCCCGGTGCTGCCAAGAACTTGAATCACATGTCTTGAGAAACTTGGTCAAGAGCCTGCCTGCTTCCCATTATAAAAGAAACCTCCAAAATTTTGCCTTATATGATAGTTTTCTGATTCTTTGGGGGTTGGAATTCGCTCTGATAAAAAGAGAAGGCGCAGCACGTTTGTCTCAGGGGCGAGCTATTAAAGCAATTTCAGGGAAGGGCAGAGCTCTTGCTGTTCCCACAGCCTTGGTGCTACAAAAGCCACAGGTGAAATTCTACCTGGTGGGCTAATATATAAATGTTGTGTCCCACGTTCCTGGGAGATGCCGCAACATCTTCCCCGTTCTCTCCATCCTCAAATTCGACTTCTCCTTGCAGATACGCCTTCTTTATCACTTCCACCTGGAAAGACAGACACAGGCTGATGAAGAGGCAGCTCAGGTTGAGGGGTGGAGGCTGCTGAGGCCAATATACATCTGCCACTGCAAGAACTGAAACGGAGCTGAGCGACCACGTTCCCAGGGAAGGTCAACGGGCTTCTCAACACCAGCACGGCCACCCCAGTTCCCGGACTGAAGGGAGTCGGGAGTTTCAAAGCGACCCAGGGACTCACCAGCTCCTTGGGCCTCATGTTGTAGAGGATCCTCTCCGCGTTCTCGCTGTCGTGCCTGCTCTCCATGATGGCCAGGAGCAGTTTTGAAGCGTTGTTCTGAAAGGAAAAATGACAGCAATCACCGCCAGGAGCCTGGCCAAGCAGTCCCTCTGCTCTAATTACCGACGCGTACAATTTAACGGTATTTTCACTGGTTTGTTTCACAAACCCTACTTATTGGGACAATTCGAATTAACCCAAATCATGGTTTAGGTTTCTATAAAGCTGATGTTTTAAGCTCATATCGTTTCATTTCAGAGATAAGTGCAGCATTACTACAAGCTCTCGACTCCAAAACTCAGCTTTCCTGGAGCTACTGCTGATTAAATCAAAGGACAGCCAAGGCTGAAGACACAGATGTGCTTCGCTGCTTTTAACCGAAAATTGCTCTGCAACCTGCTCACGCCAAGAACGAGAGGGAGGAAATGGGAAACTACCACAAGGCACCAGACTACTTTAATACGAACAATTAAGATTAAGATCCATCACGACTGACAATAAAAAACCAATAAAAGTATTTAATTTTGAAGCATAATGCTAATTGAGTCTAAAAGCATTTTTTATTTAGAATAATAAAAAACCCACATTACCCATAATAACGGTGAGGGTTGGCACCGGAAAACAACCAGACATTGCCCTATAAGACAGGGCAGTAAGTCAGAATGGAAATATTTCTGAACCATATGCTGCAGCAGGAGTGCTCTGTGACTACTGCTGCGAGACCACTACCTGCTAGTGCATTCTGAAACCAGCACCAGGGCTAATTATTTCAGCATTAATAAGAACAGCCCTAAAAAAGTCCTGATGATTAAATACCAACTGATTAAACAGCAGCAATAAAACATTAGGAATCTAGTTTCCTAGAGCACGAGGGTTTCCTAGCACGAGAAATTTTATTTCCACTATGTAAGAGCTCACCATCAACAGAATTCTTCATCGGCTTTATATTTTTAGGATTTAAGATTTATTTTTATTTTTTTTTTTAGGATTCTTCAGCGTATCTCAACTGTGTGCATCCTGCGACGAGCACATGTGACCCTTTAACCAAACTCCTGGGATTTTGATTCAGGCTCCCAAGGAGGTGAACGGCCCGAGCCACAGCCGGGCCATGAACTCCGCCGGGAAACCCAGGAAGGAGCAGAATGACCCAAGGAGCACCGGCGTGAGCCTGGATCACGCATCATGTGATGAAAACATGAATAGCCGGCAGTATTTCCAAGATGCATTTATGAAGGAACAAGGAATGTTGCGGGTACAGGGAATCTCCCCCTCACCTCTCCCATCGCAGGCAACCTGACTACGAGCCAACCGCTCCCCCACGAAGACAAGAGCCTACGTGAGGCTCCTTTTTGCTCCTGGAGGTGATGTCTCCTTGAGCTGGGATGCCTCCCAAGGCTGCTCCTTGAGGCAGAGAGACCTTTTACCAACGGCAGATCTTTAGATGAGCCCCAACTGAGTTTTCACTGGATTGCACGTGGACTGCACACCAGGCTCTCCCGGCGAACGGAGACACCTCTCAAGGCTGAGATTCCTTACCTGAGACGGTGAGATTCTTCCTTGCCCACCATGCAGGGACCCCTTACTCGCAATAAATCCTCAGTAACATGAATCAATCCTAATGAAACCCAGGTAACTAATTCCATTAAGACATAAATTGTTGTCCAAGACCGAGACCAAGTCAGGAGCTAGCAGCACCCAAGCTCCATCAGCAGTTGAAAGCCAGGGGCTGCACTCTGAACCTCCTGACTCAACGGGAGGCTCTCCCTCACCCTTCTGCATTTCTGGTCTCTGTGTAGATCTTTCTATCTCAATTTTCCTTTGTATATTACTTCACATAGTAAGTAACAGAGCGAACCTTGCCATGGAACTTTGTTAAGTCATGCTTTTACAAATTCATGTTAAAACCACTTGTGCTATCACCTTTGACAGTGGTTCTACCGCTCATTCCGCAACACATCACCCCCACTGGAAAATCGGTGGCTCCGTGTTATCATTTAAAAGATGAAATACCTGTGACAAACAATCTTTGGGCACTGCCTCCAGCTTGCTGATGCATATAATTTTTTTGGCACTTACGAATACTGTGATATAATAAACACCCACATAATTCCAACGATAAAATTATGTTTCATCCTACTGCTAAGGTGGATTGCACAAAATATTCGCTTGCCTTTAGTTCCAGCACAAGGTCCATCCTCTTCTTTCCCAAAGGGTTGATGTCATTGAGAATTAATGCTGTGATGATGTCAATGCCGTTGGACTCGTGAGTAGCAATGCAGTTCTGTCCAAAGAAAATTCATCAAACTTGACTAATTGTCTATTCTAAGAAGGCAGCCTAGGCTGGTGACCCAGCCAGAACAACAGAGCCATCCCTTTCATCGCCTCATAAGCTGCCTGAGATGGATAACTGAACAGAAAACCCCAGTCAGTGGAATAATAAAAGATCAGGGCATTTTGTTTCGAGCTTTTCCAATCATCAGCCGTGGCGTGTCCTGCCGAAACCACCCAGCTTCAGGAAGCAGAAAGCAACACAGCTGATAAACCAAGCACTTCCATGCCAAAGCGTCCAAGCTGCATACGTAGCTGAGGAAGAACGCTGTTGTACTGAGATTACGGAGTTTTCTTTATTGCAGGTGGGCCAATCGACATCTGCTTCAGTCCTGTCTAACCCAAGAATGTGAATTTCCACAACCTTCTTGCTTGCCCCTTAACCCTGCCTTTCTAGTGGTCTGTAACTAAAATGTACAAACCACCAGTAGCTTTCTCGCTTCAAAATCCAGAGCCCTGCTCTGTCATCAAGCTCCACTGCAAAGGTCCATTCCTGCACCTAAAGGCTGTTACACCACACAATTTAACAGAGAACACTTGTCTGCTATGAACCACGTGTACAGCCTCGCGCGTTCTCTCTCACAGGCACGATTTCACCTGGACACTGGTCACCCCCACTACGCTTTGCTGTGAATTACATGTGAGCTCATGCAGAAAAGGCACTGCAAAGGACAGATATTCTTAAAGACTTTTCAAAAAGTTGTGTTTCAGTCTTTCTGTACCACACTAGGGATCAAACAGTACGCAAATGGAGAAAATCAGCAGGCATCCCAATGTCTGTAAGTGCTGAGGTTTGCTTGTCACAAGAGTGACACCCACCCCCAAAACACAGGGCTCACCA